GACTTCTGGGCTTTCCGAAGGGCTCTCGGCTGTTAAATCCACTTCAATGATTTGGGGGATTTCACTTTGGGTATTCAATTGTGATGACTGGTCACCTCTACTACAACCTACCAAAGCTGTCTGTGCCTCTAATTCGTGTAGACTTGCTAGATTGTCTGGTCTTTCTGTCCCCATGAGGTCCCAAAATGACATCAGGGTTGTTCCACCAGATTCTGACGCCTTTCCAGCTTGTATCTCTTTAAGTCCTTTAGGCTTTATCGTCTTTCTCGCTGGTCTCCACTCAACTTGCGGTATGTCTGAATCAGAGTCGTCTGACTCCTGTCGACTGCATGCAGCACCTTTCTTTACCATCCGTGTTCGAGAGAAGGTGGTTTCCGTTACTTGTTCTGTTAGTTGATCGTCCTCCCTCTGATTTCCGTTCTGTTTTTTCTTCATCTTTTTTGATTTTCCTATTTCACTTCTTTCGTTTGGTGACGCCGTTTTCGTGGGTTCTGATTGTTTTAATTTATCTTGGAGTTTTGAAATGTCGACCAACTGTTTCTCACGAGCTATTCTGTCCAATGTGTTTTTGTGTTTCTCAACTGTTTGAAAACTTGAGTTTTGACCGTTTTCGTTCCGGTCGAGCTTTGTCCGGTTTTGAACAAGCTGGTTGTCATAGCAACCGCGTGATGAACTGTCTTCACAGTAGTTAATTTCTCTTGATGTTCTAGAATGTTCTGGAATGTTCATAGTGCTACTTTGGTTTGTTTCACTAGACCGACTGTTTAAACAGTCGAGTGCTTTATGGAAACTTTCTATAGACGTTACTACGAATCTCTCATCCAGTTCCGATTCTGGCCACGGTTCTCCATTAGGTTCTCTTGACAAGTAGTCAATGATACCCATATCCCTTCCGGTAATATGAGTAATTGTAAATTGAAAGGGCAATAATCGGTCAACCCACCTAGTCAAACGAGATTGATACGTTTTATTTGATCTATGTTCCCCCAGGGCTGATGTCAATGCCTTGTGGTCAGTTGCTATGACAAATTCTTTCCCTAGTAGATAATGTTTGAAACGATCTACCGCCCAAACTACTGCTAATAGCTCAAGTTCATTGGTAGAATATTTCTTTTCTTGCGCATTTAAATACCGGGAAGCGAATGCGATCGGTATCCAATCATTCTGATGAGACCATTGCTCTAAAGTAGCTCCGAGCCCACTATGACTTGCGTCGCATTTTACTCTAGATTGCTTTGCTGGGTCGTAATAGTTTAACAAGGCTATATTAGCAACTGCCCTTTTTATGTCCTCAAAGATTTCTGAGTGTTGATCGTTCCACTCAAATTTTTTAACTGGTAACCGGACATTTTTCATCTTCTTTTTTTCATTTTCTTCTTTCAGTAGTGGTCGAAGTTTTTCAGTTAAACTAGCCGCATTTGGGATAAATTTCGCCAAGTGGTTGATGCTACCCATGAACGATCTGAGTTGCTTTAGTGATTTGGGGGGTTGAAGGTTTGCAATTGCCTCCGTTTTAGTAATTTTTGGAATTATACCCTGTATAGACAAATTATGACCCAACCAATTCACCGCGGGCTGCAAGAATTCGCATTTCGAAATTTTTAATGCGAGATTTTCGTCGTCCAACTTTTGCAACACATTGTGTACTAACTTCTCATGCTCTTTAGCTTCCCCCTTTGAAACAATTAGGATATCGTCCAAGAAACAAAAGGTATTCTTTGCGTGGTTTAGTGTTCTATCCATCGCTTTTTGGAATTCGGCTGGCATATCTGCCAACCCGTAGAAACCTGTCAGAAATCTGTACGTACCCGTTGCATTACCCCCTATTATATTGAAATTGCATTGTTTTGCTGTTTCAGCAGTTAGTTTTATCTGGCTATAAGCATATTTCAGATCTAACACGGTGAAAAAGAGAGAGCCTTCTGATGCTGATGTGATGATCTGGCTAACCCCATCAATCAGTTCGTCCACATTGGGCATCTGGTATTTATTTTTGTACAACTGTCTATTAATGGGCTTGGCGTCCAATGCTAATTTAATAGAATCGTCTTTTTTTACTGTGATAACAATTGGGGCAATAAAACAATCGCTTGTGCATTTGTCTAATTTCGCAATGTGTCCCTCTGTGAGCAGTTTGTCTAGTTCCCTTTGAACTTTGTCCTGGATGTGTATATGAATTCTCCTACCTTTCTCTTGAATAGGGCACAGAGGATATTTAAATTTTGTACTCACCATGTGATGTTTTGATTCCCCTTGTCTATCGAATAGATCTTTGAACTTCTTGTAAAAGTAAATCTTCCAACTATCTGACTGTTCGCACAGTAACACATCAAACCTGGACCTTCGTGTTGGAGCCGATTTTTGCGTGGTTTGAATTCCTAGTTTATTTTGAAGATCTAAACCTAATATGCACCGCATACGTCTCTCTGTGACCAGTAACATCGCTCCCAACACTTCCCAACCTGCCGAACGTAGATTGGCCTTTAACGCTCCTAATATTAGAATAGGTCGTTTATTATAATCCACGAACTGCGCGGACAGGTTCAGCTTTTCTGCCGGAATAAATTTTGAATTCGAGGGTCCTTCCAGAATTTGTTTCGTTGTTGCCCAATTCAGGAGTGATACTGGACTGCCAGTATCTATAGTCATATTCAAAATATGACTATCAATCTTAACCAAAGCTTTAAGTGCTTTAATTTGATGCGATTTGGGATTTCTGCGAATTTCGATCTTTTCAATTTTACCCGACTTCTCCGTCCAAGATCCTTTCTGACTGCTTTCGTTAGTGTACGCATTTTCCGAAATCTTTTTCTTGATGTAATTTTCTATGTCCATGATGGAAGCACACTCTTCCTCTACTGACATAATTTCAAAGTCATCACATGAATCGAATGTTTGTATAAGGTTGCACTCTTCCCCCGAACTCGAATCTTCATTTGCAATTTCGTTAACTTGTTGAGACCTACACATTTTAGCGAAATGATTAGGTTTGTTACAATTTTTACATGTTTTGCCCATTGCCGGACAATTTTTTAGATGATTCTCTACAAATGCTCTACCGCATCTTGTACATTGTTTTTGATCTCCTTTACCTTTTGGAGGTTTATTTTCATTTTTTTTTTTTCTGTTTTGATTTTGACGTCTAGGGTTATACCCTTTGTTTCCGATTGCCATAATTGGTTCTTGTTTAATCTTCATCTGTGGAGTTGTAAACAGTCCTGAGTTGTTTGTGTTTGAAGATTTTTGGAATGCTTGAGTTGTTTGTTTGCTGTATTCAAACTTTAGTGCACGTTTTAACACTTCTTCTGGAGAGAATGTTTCGAAAGTCAATGTGTCTTGGAGGACAGCATTTTTCATTCTTGAGATGAACAGATCTCGTACCAATTCTTCTTCCAACGCTCCCAATTCAGCCTTTGCTGCTTGTGCAGTCAGTGCGGCATGAAAAGATTCCAACGTTTCATTTGATTCGTGGGATCGTGTGAACAGTTTGTATCTCTCATAAGTAATACATTTCGTTTTCTCAAATGAGAGTTTTGCTAATCGAATTATATCGCGAAACCCTAGTTTGGATATTTCTGTGTGAGGGTTCTTTTGGATAAATTTTTTCTTCCCTTCTGCTCCTAAAGCGAGGAATAATCTCGATGTTAGCCGTTTGCCCACTTCGTGATAGAATACATTGTGTCCCACTCTAGGTCCTCTTAGTGTCCGTTCTTCGTTTTCCTGACCCACTCTATATCGAGCCAATCTGTTCCGAGCTTCTCTTTCTGCTGTCGCAATCTCATCCTCGTTTTGTCCTGGTGTTTCAGGAGTTGGTAAGGGTTCTTCCAATACCGGTTTGGGTTCTTGTAACATTATTTCTGGATCCACATTCTCTTTAACAGTAACAGCTAATAGGAACTGGTCAAGCCACGTTTCAAAACTCCACGGTGGGTCTGAATTCGCGGACGCCCAAAATACTGGAATTCCTAGATCAGTCCTATTATCCTGAGCAGTGAAACCGGATCCTGCTGGCTGCGCCATGTGGTAACTAACAATACCTCTGAGGTTGTAGAGTGACAACTGAAGTGGTTTCGAAGAGTTTAATTAACTATATTGAAAACCGTTTCTTTTCTGTTTTAGTTTCTTACCGACTGTGATCTTAGCCACAGGCCTGAGAGATTGCCTCTCTTAGATTTGTAAAAGGTCACGTATTCTTTGACCTTGGTTTTTATAATAGAATTATATAATTTACAGATAACAATATGTATAGCACTATCAAGGTCAATATGTGATGACTTATCTGATTACTGCGATGGCAGTGGCAGATGTGATTAGCACTATCAAGGCCAATATATGAGGACTGCATAGTTACTGCAATGGCAGTAGCAGTTGCGGTACCACAGTCGTAGAGCATTCTCATTCTATATAAGCTGCATTTTAAATATGTTTTATCTTAAGTTTCGATAACATTTTGAGGATTTTTTCATTTCAAAAATATATTTGAACATCAAAAGCGATGAGCAACATTAAGAACAGAAAAATTTGCTGCTATTTGGCTGAAATTTCAAGTTATTCGGAGGATTCAATAAGTTATTCATGTATCTCAAACGTCGCAAAAATATGAGAAGACATTGATTTATATTAACCAAGTCATCGATTAATTATGATCGAGATGACGTGTGAATTTCATAAGCGTAAATTGTTGGCATTTCTGGGACGTATTATGAACAATTTCTTCTGCATTTGTTCTTGGCAACATACCATTTGCCGAAAATCAACAAACTGCCATTTAGCGAGCAAACTTTGAACGGTGTCAGTGACCTATGCTTGAACTAACATTGACTTCGGTTTCAGAATTAATCAAGTTTTTTCAGCAAAACAACTGTTTAACATATTCAAGTTGCCGTTTATATTTGAAACCAATGTTGTCCATTCTTAAACGCCAACTAAGAAATTAGCATGTGGTTACTAGTGTTTGTGCTGCTTGCATCATTTTTATCATTTTTGATTGTTTACCGTAGAAAAACGAACTCTCGGAAGACCAAAAATGGAATCGAGCGTCCCGGAATTCTAATGGAAGTACCTGCCGACGCTTCTCGCGAGCTCAGTCGACTGGAGCGCGGTTTCAAATATGTCACCGATATGTCGATAGGACTAATCGGGTGCAAATTTGTCCTCAAGTCGAAGACTGAAATTAAAGAAGATCTTTTTAAACTCTTCGTCGAGACGTACTGGAACTTCGCACCATTGCTTCGCATGAATATTATTGAAGCTCCGAGTAAATTGGACCACCACTTTTACTTCAAGGAAATGAAGGAGATTCCTTTTGACCAAATCCTGAAATGGCGGAAGTTGGGAGACCATGAAAATCTGCAAGAACAAGTCGAGAGGGAGATTTGTATTCCGTTCAACGTCGACCGAGAACCCCTTTGGAGAGTGATTGTTTTCGACTTGAAACACGAAATAAACAACAACGAAGAATATCCCTTCAAAAAAGGTCAGAGTTGATATAATAACACGTGAAAATTTGCGTTTTTTGTTCGGTCATTCAAACCTAAAATTGAATTTCGTTTCAACCCTGGTGGCTATAGCGACCAGGCCCACTCTGATCATCAATTTTGGTTGCGAATGTTTTTCAAAAGGTCCCTTATGAACTTTTTTGCGACATTTATTTTCGGCCGACGGACACGAGATTGTCGCTTTTGGCGCCAAGACAAAAAAATTTTTTTTAGGTTGGCAAATTTGGTTGACCAAATTTTTGAAGAAAAAAAAAGCTTAAAAAATTTCGAGCTCTTCAGAAAAAATTTGACTAAAAAATTGAGTTTTTTTCGGCGCGCTAGCCCCTCTAATTTAGTTATTTTGGCGCCAAAGGCTCCTTCAGAAAAATTTTGAGGTTGGCCAGGATAATATTAGGCTTCCTAATTTTGGCCTGTTTTTTTTTCAAAAATTAGCCGGCAGCGGAATAGCTTTTGGCAAAAAAGGGTCATAATAGGGTTTTTAGGGGAGCTTAAAAAGACACCCCCTCCCCACGAAAAACCCTTCTAACAAGCCTACTGATAGCTCCTAACTGCGATTCCCAGGAACCACAATTTAAAAAAATTATTTATACAATTAGTTATTTCTCAATCTGTTTTTATTGTTTTACCGTTCTGCCCTTGGATGTGTTCTGCTCTTGTACCATTCTTCTCACTGCTCCAGGGGCGGACTTAGCGGGGGGGGGGGGAGGGGCGGACGCCCCTCTTTCCCTCAGGGATTCTACCCCCTTTGTCTTTTTTGAGATATCCATTTTTGGTGACAGACTCTAAAGATTTTCTAAAGGCGCCTTTGGCGCCAATATGTACTAACTTTAAGGGGGCAGCGCGTGCCGAAAAAACGCAATTTTTTATTTTTTTGGTCAAAATTCTCAAAAAAGTGCCTTTTACTGCTTTGGGAGAGCTCGGAAAATCAATCTGGTCGAGACCTAAAAAAAAGGTCGATAAAAATTTTTGCGTTTTTAAAAAAAAACACAGATTTGCCATTGTAACAAGTTTTTGAACTCCAACCACCATGTTAAAATGTGCCATGTTGGCCATAGAAAGCAGTAAAACTGAAAAAAAAAACATTAAATAGGTTAGTTAATGTTTTTCATCATTTTCATCCATGTTCGAACGGAGGCTAATGGAACGATCAAGTGCTTAAGGAGTGCTTACGGTTTTTGGAGCAATGGGAAATAATTTTGAAGCTGGTAAAAAGAAAGAATTGTAAGAAATCTGAAGAATCGTATGATTGTTATTAGTCTGTTATTTTTCTGTTACAGGAGTCGTTCTTGTGGTGAACCACACCATTTGCGATGGAGTAGCTTTGATACAACTCTACAAACAAATCCCACAAATTCTTAACTTTTACTTGCGGAGTAACGCAGAGTCTGCAGCGTGTGCTACCTCATCATTATCAACATTGTCATCCAATCCCATCCCAAGAACCGAGCGAGTTCCAGTTGCGGTTGAGGACGTAGTGCCAAATATCCACTTCCCTCTGTGGTTCGAACTGCTCGGAACAATCGGGTCGAAAATCCTTGCCAGAACAAAAGTTATACCGCCATTTAATCACGAGTTCTTTGAAAAATTCCAGCCTCCAATTTGGCAAAACCCTCGAATCGAACCGGCGCCGAAAATCTTAACGTTCAAACTGGACACTGAAACTACTACTAAACTCATTAGAACAACAAAACAACAAAAATGTACTTTTACTGGTACTTTAATCGCTGCAATGAGCATTGCGTGTGCGAAGCAAATGCAAAACGGGAAAATATGGAAAGGTTCAACTTTCAGAGTTGCTATTCCTGTTGATCTGCGGAGGTACTTTTTGGATCACAGGTATGACAACTGTATAGCGAATTACACGTCTCTTTCACCACTATGGCTCAAATGCTCAGTGAGACCACTGAAGAAGAAAGAAAGTGAGCACTCGTTCTTTTGGAGCATGGCGCGACAGACGAGTCGTGAAATTCACAGGCTAGTTCGTGGATCCGAGACTATAAAAGCGATCAATGTCGTCGCACCCTTCATGGACAATCCGTCGTTCGCCTCCGACATGTTGAAGAAAACGGCCACGCATAGCAGTGGCGGTAGAATTGCTCTGTTTAGCATGTCCAATCTCGGGATTATAAATGGTCCGAAGGAGATCGACTCTGCGGGATACCAGTTAGACGACATCGCGTTTGGTGCTAACGAAGTACTCGGGGGTTCGATTTTTTCAAATAATGTTGCCACATATGACGGATGTCTAATGTGGAACATGGTACATGCAGTGCATGTTGTGTCAGACGAGACAGCAGCTCATGTTTTCCAGGGTCTTCGAGAAACCTTGAATTTGTTCAGCCGAATGGCATCTTCGGTAGAGCTGTCGTCTTCAGAACATTGAGAAGTTTTCAATCAATCTGAACATAAAAGTAATTAAAATTATGTAAAATCTAGTCCGAAAGTATATATATATTTATTGATGTTGTCCATTAATTAATCCTATGTACACTAGTTTTCTGATTTCAAAACAAATTGCTCATTTAGGGGGTTTTTGGTTAGTCCTTCTCTGGATTTTCACCAATACACCATATGGATTCTCAGGACATTGTAAAAAGGCGTGCATGGCGCCGCTATGCATAGAATCAATGATTGTGAAAATGTACTAGTAATACTAAACTACTTTGAGTGATACGGGTAGAGAGGGGAGCGGCAATGGAGTGGCTGGGTCCTTAAAGATGAGGAAGCATTACACAGTACAGAACAATAAACAGAAGCAATTGGACGATTGAGGTGATTGCAAGTAACTAAATAGATTTGACAGTGAGGCCATTATTTTTTGTTTGCCCTTTTTTGTCTGACAAAAAAAACAGTTATGAACTATGCAAACATTTTTTTTAAAAAAATGTTGTTCGAAGGAAGTTGAATGGATTTAAATTTCGTAATTGCGGACAATCTAACGCTTTGCGCTTGTAAAAAAGTCTTTCTTCTCTCGATCAAGTTCTCGGGAATTACCAATTGTACAAATTACAGAGCAATCAGCCAACAACAAAACTCAATCAAAAAGTCTCTGGACGGTCTCTGGACATTGTAAAAAGTTTCATTGTCAGTTATTAAATTTTGCAAAAACCAATTACTTGAAACCTCTGGACAGTCACATACAGCAAGGTAAGGAGGTTACAAAGGCTCAAATAAGTTGGAAAATTCAATTTTGCTGCGGTTAGAGTTTCCTCAAAATCAAATGTGAGTTACTTCAAAAACCTTAAGACAATTGTACAAGTTTTCACAACCATATAAGGATATAAAAATCATTAAACAGGGGTGAAAACCTAAATTCTGATTAATTGGATTGGAACCACTGTGGGTGAATGATTATGGAAAAAAAAACATTTAAAGAGGCAAAAGCAAGAACTTTTTTGTTTGCGCTTAACATTTTTTCTGCTAAAATTTAAAAAAAAACTTGACGAGCGATTTGTTTTATTTTGCAGTTTTTTGACTTTCAAAACAAATAAAACTTTTGAACATTTTAGTGACCTTTCGATTATCATTCCCTTTTCAAGAAAACCGAAGCGATTAGTTTTTGCTTGGAAAAATTTAGGATGACAATGTGTGCTCAGCAAACGTTTAGAAAACTCACAGGTTAACTGTTGTGATAAACTTATTAAATAGTTTCAGGGATGAGCCAGCGAGGCATGGTGTTGTAAGCAATATTTACATCAGAAATCTCGTGAAATTCAAAAATTCAAATGATGGAAGATTGGAGAAACTGCCAAAACCCAATCCCCAGTAATGATCAGTGCAGCGTGTGTGATGACTCAGGCGACGCATCACCGTGGTTATCTTGTGTTCTTTGCAATAGACGGGCACATGTGGAATGTCTTGGTCTTGTACCCGGCAGTGGAATGATCACAGGGAACATAGCATGGTCTTGTACAAGTTGTGGGCCTCTCACGAAGCTAAGTACCCTTTTATCTTGCTTTAATGAAATGGAAAAGAAACTAGCTAATGTGATGAAACTCAGCGACAAAGTTAATAGGATGGATAAAGAAATCCATTATATGAAAACTAACGCGGGAAGAGAATCCCGTAATTACAGCCAAGTTGCTGCTGGTAATGCACAAACACATGTAAATTATGATGACCAGATCACAATTCAGAAGCCTGATTTTTCGTTTATCAAAGGCATGCATCTCAGAAATGACAGTGTATCGTCGAACAGTTCTAGTCGAAAAAAGCGAACCCGAGTGGAAACGCCCGAAAAAAAGCCAGCGGCAATTATTGGAACGTCTGACTCACAAACATTTTTAGGGGTATCAAAACCACCACCTAGAAGACACATTTATGTTGGTCGTATTAGCAAAGATTATACCGCAGATGATGTTATTAAATGGTGTAATGAAGAAGATGCGCCACTGCAACATATCAGGGAAGTTTCAATAGAAAACGGCTCTTTCAGAAGTTTTCACTGCGTTTTCTCCGGAGATTGTTGTGAAAAAACCGAAAATTCTGCTTTCTGGCCGAAAAATGTTGTGGTCAAAAGATTTTTCTTACGCGATAATGCTAAGACATGGTTGAAGTCTCTATCAAACAAGCCTTGACTATCAAAAGCTTTGAAGACTTCAATTTCCATTAGCTTATTGAATGCGCGCTCGGTCAGAAATAAAACATCAGATATTGCTTCAATACTTCTATCAAATGATTTTGATTTATTTTTTCTTACGGAAACGTGGCTGAAACATGATAGCAATGAAAATTATTTACTACGTCAGTGTTGTTCTAATTTGGAAATTTATGACACTTTTAGCCAGCCAAGAAATTACTCTAATGGAGGTGGAATAGCATTGATTTGTAGATGCGACTTCAAAGTCAACCAGTTATCATCGCTGAATCAAGCAGAGATAGAGCTAAAAGTTCTCGAAATATCCTTTCCGACCTGTCGTATATTATTCATCATCTGCTATAGGCCTCCATGTGGAGATTTTTTGATTTTTAAAGAACAATTATACAACATGATTTACGAATTTTGCACTGATTATGATTTATGTGTGATATTGGGTGATTTCAGCGTACACTTCTTTAATAATAAAGACAATCGTTATTTACTCCTCCAAGATGTCTTTCAAGAGTTTGGTCTGAAACAAATTATAAACGAACCAACACATTGCTCTGGAAATATTTTAGACTTAGTAGCTATTACAGATGAAATAAAAATATCGCAATTAAACGTGATCCCTTTCGAAGTTTCTGACCATCATGTTATATCTTTTCTACTACCAATAAGTGTTTCAATGGCAGAACGAAATTTAAAACCTTACAGAAAATGGGACAATATTGATCTTATAGAAATAGCTGGAGAAATAGAAAGTAACTTACTGATCAATCAAATCAGTTTCGAAGAAAACAACACAGCCATGAAGGATTTCTCTGACATAGTAGCTGAAGTTACAATTGATATTAACCCAACTAAATTTCGGCTTTTTAGAAAACGTAACTGCAAATTTTTTGACCATGACTTGCAAACGATGAAGCAAAAGCGCCGTAAGTTTGAACGAATCTTCAATAAAGTTCCTTCACTGGAAAATAGATTGACTCTGAAGAATGCCAATCTGGATTGTCGCAAGTTATTTAAAGAGAAACAGTTTGATTACTACAATAGGGAAGTAAATCGTATCAAATCACAACCAAAGAGCTCATACAGTTCTTTCAATGAAGTTTTAGGAATTGATACGAGATCAGTGCTACCCAATAATTGTTCTTTATCAGATCTGGCAGATAAATTTAATACTTTCTTTATTGAGAAAATTGAGAGCGTCATTGCTTCATTGAAACCTCATAACTTTTATTACCGTGACTCAAATGAAACATTAGCCAGAGACAAAGTGAAATTTAGTTCGTTCAATAAAGTTACTTGTGATGATATTTATAAAGCAATTGCATCCATGTCCAATGCTACCAGCCCCTGCGATTCTATGCCAACTGAGATTATGAAGAAAATTCAAAAAAGCTGGGTGCCAACTTTTACTGGCATACTGAACAATTGTTTACAGAAAGGACATTTCCCAAATGTTTTCAAGTTAGGCATTATAAGTCCTTTTCTGAAGAAAGCAACACTTGATAGAAATCTGTTGTCTTCTTATAGACCTGTTACCCAATTATCTTTTTCATCCAAAATTTTTGAGAGAGTAATCTCGATTCAATTGCTGCATCTTTTAAACAAGCTTGATATTCTCGATCCTTATCAATCAGCGTATCGTAAAGGATATAGCACTGAATTAGCACTTTTGAACACCAGTAATGACATTCTTAACAAGCTTTCAAGCAAATGCCCCGTAATCTTAGTGGCTCTTGACTTAAGTGCTGCCTTTGACACGGTCTCTCATGATATTTTATTACGCCGTCTGGAAAATTACACTGGACTTGAAGGAGCAGCTCTTGAACTTTGTAAGTCTTATTTATGTGGTCGCTACCAGGCAGTTAAAATTAGTAGCTGGTTATCTTCGACTGAATCTGTGAAAAATGGAGTTCCCCAAGGATCCATATTAGGTCCTCTATTTTTTAGCATTTACCTTTTACCTCTACGGTCTCTCTTTTTATCTCTTGATTTGAATTATCAAATTTATGCGGATGATGGTTTAATTTACTTATCAGCCGCAGATTTAAATAGTTCAGTTGATCATCTGAATGCAAGTCTAGTCAAAATTACCAAATGGTTTGAAATGAATAATTTGAAAATAAATTCTGATAAAACAGAAGTTCTGTTTGTTGACAGGAAGGTTGCAAGAGAAATAAACATACGTGTTAATAATGAAATTGTCAAATCAGAAGACACACTTACAGTGCTTGGTTTTATTTTTGATTCCAAATTTAACTTACAACGACAAATCAATTCTGTTTGTAGCTCGGCCTATTACATTCTGCGGAAACTTTTTAGCATAAAAGCTTTCCTTTCTTTTGAGACCCGACATTTACTCTGTCAATCCCTTATACTTAGCCGCCTTGACTATTGCAATAGCCCATATTTTGGTTTACCCAATTACCTTTTGATGAAACTGCAGAAAATACAAAATTCAGCTGGACGATTTGTATTCCAACTCAAGAAAGGAACACCAACCAGCCCTTATCTACATGATCTACATTGGTTACCAGTCTCGAAGCGAATTGAGTTCAAATTACTGTGCATTGTTTTCAAAGTACTAAACCGAAACTATTTATGTCCAGCATTTTTAAGAGACATACTAAAATTAAAACAAAATAGCTATAGCTTGCGTGATGGTCCAAAATTGGTAGTACCCAGAGTTAATTCAAGTTTAGGTAGAAGATCTTTCAGCTATTGTGGAGCAAAACTTTGGAATTCACTGCCCCAGAAAATGCGAGAAGAAACGGACTTTCAGTTATTCAGAAAATCAATGAAGACACATTTATTCAGATCTCATTATTACACATCGGCCACGTACTAAGGAGACAGACAAAACAAACACCTTTGAGTACCAAAAAGGGTGTATAATCCAGCAATGATGATGATGATGATGATGTTAAATGAACAGACTGACTGACTTCTATGATTGACCTTTGTTTTGTAAATAGCTTTGACCATTCAACTTTTTAACGTGTTAATTGACCTATTCGAACATAGCTCTCACTGTAAACTGCCTGCTTAGTAATTCAACGCTGGTGTTGATCTTGAGCATCGATAAACCATCTGCAGCCTTCTGTGATATAAGAGTTTCATGTCGTCATTCCACGAATGTTTCAACTCAATCAATACCCCTTAAATAGATTATTTGCCAATTTAAGTGTTTGTACATTGAGTTATGAATAACAAAATGAAACTCCTTTTTATCAAATTTGCTGCAAATAGGTAGTTGAAGCGAAGGATCATCACCCGGTTTGAATAACTAAGCAGGCAGTTTACACTGAAAAGGAAGTCCAATTACGCCAACGAGTTTGTTAAAAATATAGATACAGTTACGACAATTTAGATTTCGGTGTCATCTGTATAGATTTCACCGTCAAAAGTTTATCAACTCAACTTTCTATGTACACTTGCGTCTTTTCGCCATAAGTTTGCTAGTTAAATCAGATATGGTTACAAATTTCTTTGGAGATATATATAGTTAACGAAAGAGTTGCCTTAAGTTATAACATACCTTAACTTATTAATAACATACCAAAAGATGAATTTTCAGTAAGGAGATCTTTTTTCAGAAAAATTACCAACAATATTAAATCTGGAGAATCTAGAAACTGTTCTCAAAAAAATAACCCGAATATAGTTTTGCTTTCTATTCTTTTTACACCAAAAGACTTCAAAACAGAACTGAGAAACCTTAATCGAAGAAAATAATCGAATCGTTTTGACAGATCGGCCTGGATACTTAAAGACCAAGCAAATTGGAACCTGATCTAAACTATATTTTATGATTGGATAAATTAAATGTTTTACCAATGTAAAGTATTTAATATTAACCAATCATGATCCATCTAACTAACAACCCACTTATTTGTAAGTGCTGAAGTTACTTGTAATTTCAGCACCAAAGAGATTTGAATTTAACTTAGAAATTAGTTGAACTCTCCCGAGTACTTCAGCAGCCGCAATAAACCAGTATACCCTAGATCTATTGAGCCTAGCAGAGACTAGTTAAACAACCTGAGACTAGATAGTAT